ATATATATAGAGAGAGAGAGAGAGAGAGAGAGAGAGAGGCAAATTTTAAAAATGTCGTATTTAGGAATTTGGCTCCCCTTGAATTACCTGCCCAAAGGCGAACTAACGGTCTGTTCAGCGGACCGGCAGGTTCAAGTCAAATCTGAGCTGATAATTACGGCCAACTGAAGAGATTGAACAGGTCAATACGCGTACAGCCAAATGAATGGACCACCAATTCCTTAGCGGGCTGGCTTACAGTAGTTACGATCTTTCAGCCCAATTAGAGCTTTAAATATTCCACCTAATTATATAACAAAAAAGTTTATTTTTATACTTATATATAATTTAACCTTTTCATATCACATAAAAAGGTGTTGAGAAATTAGGGCGATAAAAAATAAGAATCGACATAAATCCAGAAGAATACACAGAAATTTAGATTCGGCAAAGATGCATATGTCATTGGGAGCAGAGCGGCGACTTCTTTTTCAATATTCAGAAAAAAAATACATAATACAAGATTCAGAATCCCCCCCTAGATTTATAAACATGACATATATATAACTATAGTATAATATGTAATTAATTAAACTACCCATATACCAAACTGCGCGGTGTTGCCCCCGCACGTTCCAACCTACATAATGAAACTCCTCTAGTTGGACAGATTCTTCCGCCCCACTCCGCTCGTGGGCTTCACTCCGCTCCAGCATCTGACCCATTTATGGTATATGAGTCATACCTAACAAAATGTCATTATCTTAATTTAATGCATAAACGAGATGATAAATATGTTACAATTAAAGTTCAGATGTTAAATATGTGAATATATAGGAATTGAGTGTTATGCATATTTATCTTCCTTATAAAAAATAAAATAAACTAAAAAAATACTCACATCGGAGCACTATTGCCTCCATTGACCCCGCCCTATGTACATCAGTACATATATTTCTTTTAATAAATTACTCTAATTTAGTCTATTGGGGAAACTCGAGCCTAATTTTATAGAGCTGCTAGATAATAAAAATTTATTAAAACATAACAAATTAAGTATACTTTGTTCAAATTAAATTATATTTTTAATTATTGCTTATCATAAAATTTAAGTCATTATTGAGCTCTATTCTAGCTTATTAACAAGCTAATTCGAACTTATAAAATTATAATAATTATATTATATTTTTTATTAACTGGGGTAGATATATAACATATTAATGAATATTAAGATATGTGCTTATATTACATTCAAAAACTTATAAATCATTTTGCTTTAAGATAATACAGTAATATCAATGATAATTACTGTAAAATTTATATTAAAATAATATAACACTAAGATATTTAATGTTTATATATGAGCATCATAAAAATTAGTGAGTATACTTTGATCTAAAGCATTACTATAGTTGATTTGTTTTATATTTTTAAAAAATAAATTAATATATAATTATCACATTTAATAAATATGCAGATATTATAAAATAAAATAAAATAAATCAAAATCTATTTTGTATTTATTTTAACTTTTTCTATTAAAATTATTAAGATATGCAATTTATTTTATCTAGAAATGTTGGAAAAATGCTTGAGCTTATTTTTAAGATTAGTAATTTGTGTCCGCACTAAAAGAATTTTCGACTCCACCCTTGTTCCCATGACTTTATAGCCATTTATAAATAATAGTTAAAATTTTAGCAAATTTCTTCAAACACACACACGTCCACCGCATCTGATCTGTCTTAAACCTAAAATCTCTTGGTTGAAAGACTAAGCTCTTCACAAGCATATTAAGGCGGCTTGCATATATTACCTAAATTCTACCTTTTACATTTCTACCAATCAAATCTTTTATATCACATAAAAATATAGAATTGAGGGGTATGTATGTAAATCTTTCCAAATGAAATTGTGATTCAATATTTAAAAAAGAGTGCCCCATGCTAGACAAAGTTAATGAAACTAAAATTAGAGTGTAATCTTTTGTGCTAATTGTAAACACTTATATTTAAGAGAAAAGCTAAAAAACAAGAGTAAGATGACATGTCATTATGTCATAGACGGCTACAAAAAAAGTCAGATGGCAAATTTTTTAAGAAAGAAAACATTCCTTGTTTTTATGGGACATGTAGAGTTTAATTCTTACACATTTGCTTGAGCCACCTACCATCATCAACTGCACCGTGGTCTAATTACAGTGTTGAATATTCAATTTGAATGATAGGATTCAAGACTTCCCAAAAATGTCTAAACCCAAAATTAAAAGAAATTAAGACTTGAATTATTTTTAAGGCTGATTATTTTGATACAAATCTAATATTAAAAATAAATGTAAATATTAATTGAACGATCAGGCCTGTATTTATCATCAAAATGATTGGCTTGAGTTCACCAAGCAAATCATATTTTAAGAAGGCTAGTGGGAGCAAGTCGGGAGTTGCTCACATATTTTACAACAAACATACACAACATGATTGAAGAATCTCTGTTTGATATATATATTTTAAGATAAAACCAACTCATATTTCAATATACATAAATCATAGAGAGACACCATAAATGAAATCAACATGAAAGGAATTAGAAAAATATAAGAGGCAAGTCAGTCTTCTTTAAGGAAAATGTTGAGCCCAAAATAGAGCGTGAAGAAGAGGGAGAAACGTATAGAAAGAGATAAGTTTATGATGTATATCCTTTCAACATCCTTTATTCTATTTAAGACTTCTCTATTTATAGGAGGCTACAATTGTTGTGAAATGATAATTATATCCACGACCCCCTTTAATCAACCGAGTCCCAATCAATTGACTTCATGTCATTCAATTGGCGGATATCTTATAAGTTGTCTTCTTGTCGATCGTCTTCTACCTAGGCAGCCATTGAGTCGATTAGCCTATAGGTCGGTCGGCCCTTAGTAAGCCACTCGATCAGTCTCTATCATTCGGTCGTCCTCTAACAACCTTATTTATTCTCGTGAGTTAAATGTGCTTCACTCCGAACCATTGATTCTTGGAAGATTCAATCAATGGTTATTCTATCGTATAGAAAATAAATTTTTAAGTCCAAAATATAAGGGAAAATATCTTGGTAAAATAGTTATTAAAACGAGCTTCTAATTCTTCCAATCTAATTGAGTTTTCTCTTGCTTTTATCTTTACGTAGATGATTGAAACCTCTCAAGCCATGAAGCACAAATACTAGCTCAACAATACATGACACAAATCTTTATTGGACAATATAATAACAATAATTATTAAATGCATATTTTAGTTGACATTTTTGCAAACAAGATGTTTTTTTCAATTCAGCCCTAATTTGAAATATTCAAATCTGTTTCACTTTACCCAAACCCGAGTTCCATAGTTCCCTTGTCTCTAAGATATCACTTCCCCCATACCCCCATTCTTAATTCGTCTTTCTGCGCTGTTTCTGTACTGAACAAGCAAAATAAAAAATAAAAAAATTCACCCTCATCACAACTGCCGAGCCATGAGGAACATACAAAACATAGAAAATTTAAAATATTATCTAAACTGAGTGAGATCCATATGGTTCAAATTTCCAAACCAAGTAAATACAAAACAATAAGAACAGAGCACAAGCAACACATAAATCATAACACCAACTAGCAGTATATTATCAACAAACTAAGTCATCACACTTGATTTGTAACCAGTATCAGTATACTCTCCTACACCTAACAATAACATTAAGAAAAAAAAAAAGAGGAATCATCAAAGAAAAATGAATCTAATGACAAGTATGGCTACACAATTAACAAGCTTTCCCACACCGCAGTGAGTGAAACCAAGCAAAATTCTCCAAAAAAATCTCAATCTTTCTTCCAAGATTGGATTTCTAAACCTCTGCACACTTCATGGGCGCAAAACCCAGTCGCGAGTTCCTCGTATCATACATTATGTGGAAGTTCTGTTGCTGGTAATTTCCCAGAATCGATAGGGATGTGTTCGGCGTTCCCAGAATCGCGAGGCACATGATGGACTCTGGTTCAAGCCGGATGAAGTAATTCTCCAACGGAAAATCCCACACCGTTCTGTCGGCAAAGACGATGGAGAAATCCGGCATCTTTACTTTGTCAACTCCAGATACATTGTAGCATGGACTCAACACAGGAAAATCATCGAACAGCTTGTAGGTTACCTTCTTCTCAATCGCTTGCTTGATGATTTTGTAAGCTGGATCGGAGAAGTAGCTGAGCGTGGTTCCTGAATCGATGATTGCGCCTCCGGCGCCGTTTTCCAACAGCTCCCATGTTTCCAATGGGATGTCCAGCATCTCTCCGTCGACTTTTATGCCTTTGATGTGAAGATAATAGAAGGTCTCTGCGGGGTTCTCTTTGCCGGTGGTGAAAGAGGTGAAGTTGAGATTGGGGTGGGAGAGGAGGGAAGGATCCTCGCCGAAGATGAGCTTGCTGGTGATGCTTAGATCGCTGTTGCGGTCAACGAGGCAGTAGGAGAAGGTGTGGCCGTAGAGGGAGCGGAGCTGGGTGGCGAAGGAGAGAGGGCCGCGGCCTAGGCCGAGGAGACCGGCGGCGCCGTGAAATAGACCGCGGTTCCAGTGGCCGCAGCCGAAGATGACACCTTCAACCTTGCGGCTTGTGGTGTTGCCCATGGTGTCTGTTAGGTTTACGGTGAAGATCTCGGTGGCGAGATCGCCGGTTGTGTTTGATTGGTCGCCGTACCAGTAGAAGTAAGGGCAGCTGGAATGGTCTTCGCCGGCGTGGCAGGGGGAGGAGGTTTCCGGCCGGGAGACAAGGTCGCAGCGAGGGTCGGTACAGCTGAGATTGCGGTAGGAAGAAGATGAGGAGGGGTTGTAGATTGGGCCGCTCTGTTCGAAGCAGGCGTGGCAGGGAAGGCACTGTAACCAATTGAGGTCGCTTCCGGTGTCGAGAATTAGGGAGAAATGTTGCGGCGGAGTGCCGACGTAGACGTCGATGAAATATTCGCCGGAGCCAAGCGCGACGCCGGACTCCACCGTGGCAGACAGGAGACCATCGATAGCCGGCGCCGAGGAGCCGAAAGTGACGGTTTTGGGCGGGGGAGCGAAGCGGGAGAGAGGGTTCTGGTTCTTCTTCTCTGTCGCGCGGCGGAAAAGGGTTTGGATTCGAAGGGAGTCCTTTTGTGTGGAGTCAAAAATAGCAGCTTTTTTGGTTTTGTCAGCTGCAGGGCGATGGTGCTTGAGATGGAGCTTGACCGGAGGGGCGTCGCCGGAGAGTGGGCGTTCAAGAGGATCTGCGTCAGGAGCTAGGCGGCGGTGGATTTGGCAGTTCGAGTCGGCGGCGGTGGTGGCGGAGTTGAAGCTGAGGGGTGTTGGGAATATGATTCCGGCAAGATGAGATGTGCGGGAGAAGTTGAAGCTGAAGGCTTCGATCGAAGGGAGACAGAAGGGAGAGAACAGGAGGATCAGGAATAAGAGGAATTGCTCGTTATGAGCCATTTCTCAGATGTTTTCCCGCATCAAAGAGGCGAAATGAAAAATCTCAAGATAAATAGAAGTAAAAAAGAAGGCTTTTTGGGGTGGGAAATCGCAGGAGCTGTTGCAGAGAGAATGGCAGCGAAAATGGTTTGGGAGACGTTGAAAGAGAGAGAGAGAGAGCTGAACGCGGTTCTGAGAAGAAAAGTGGGACTGGAGGGGGAGAGGCAGGATGACCAGCTAGTTCGCTTGTGCACATTAACATTTCATGCCGTGCCCCAACAATAAAATAACAAATTTGTGCAGAAATTTATGGGCCAACCTTGCTGTTTTCATGTTAATTTTAAATTTAGGAAATATTTCTTTAATTTTTTTATAAATAAATAATACTTTTTTTATTTTAAATTAAGATACAAATTGGTATACATTTTATTATACTTAGCATTTTTGTTTCTTCTTATATTACATTAACCTTTTTTTTCATTAGATTCTCTATACAGATAATATCGACTTCATTATTAGAGTAAAATTTAGGATAATTTAAATTGAATTTTATCATTTTTTTGCTGTTGTCTTAAACATTGCCTTCCGGTCACATTTTTAGCGAACTTTTATGGAAAAGTTTCTTGTACTAAAATTTATATCTTGGAATAAATTTTATAGTTTTTTCAAAATTAAAAAAAAAAAATCAATGTATGGATATATTGTGCACATATCTCGGTTCATTGGTGGCGGCTTCGCTTAAGACCCTCGGGTCGGGAGTTTGATCCCCCGTGGCGCGGGGTTTTTAAATTTTCAGCATATCGTGCTGGCTCCCAGAATTGACGGGAACTCCAACATAGGGGTTGATCGACAGACTCTGACCGTTGATCAATCTTTATATATATATCAATATTCGATGAATTGTTGACCCGTATATTAGTATAGATGCTGACACATTTGGTTATGAGGGACGACTCTTGTTGCATGACAAATGAAGATTGGAATGGAATTTTGAAGTAGAAGCCCCAGTAGAGAAAACTTCCTCTCAGCAGTCTAATTTGTCTTAGCACTTTAAAGGTCGTTAATAATATATGACATCTTTTTTTTTTTAAAGTTGAGAAGATGAGGATCATATCACAAATAAATCAATCAATCAATCAACCCACTACAAGACAATCCAAAAATAGAGACAACAATCCCTAATAGAATCATCAAAATAGAACAACTCCAAACAACAACACCTAACATCAACTTCAGACAGGCTCCCAAATCAGCGATATCACCAGAACAACATCCACAATATACAACTTTAATCATCCTGAAGAATGCCAACATCTTATAAGAAAATACAACCAAATAACCTCCATTCAACAAAGGACCAAACAACATCCTCGAAGTAAGTCCTTAAAGAAAACATCAACAGCTGATCACAATGACATCTAGATAACCTACAAAACTAAAACAAACAAAATAAGAGCCCCCAAAAAGCAACCAAAATCAAAAGGGATAGAAATAGAAAAAAGAACACAAAAAATCAAAAGCAATAAAAATAGAGAATAAATACAAAACCAACAGAATAAGTAAAAATCATAACTAACACTAAGACGATACCAAAAATAGACCACCACGGACGAAAGCCAACCACAAAAATAAAAAAAATCAAAAGGAAACTATAGAAAAGATAAACAAGCTCGGCCAAATCCATATCCAAAGCCCGGAGAATCCATCTAAATTCAGTGAAATTAAAATCCTTTTATTAAAACAAATAACAATTTTCTCATGCCATCTTTTTATTAAGACAATCAAAAAGAACAATAGATATTACAAATATATTAAGATCAAAAGCTTAGAACTTGAATGACCCATCAAAAGACAAACAAAAAAATTTTCAGCACAAAAACTAAAAAATATATTTAAGCTGCATTAAATGGTTGAAATATAACTCTATCCAAATGTAATGAAACAAAACAATATAGAAGAATGAACACGAAAAAAATTTCAAATGACGATTAACAGTCTAATTTAAGATAGGGTACATTATAGCTCAACAAAAAAAAACAATCTCAAGAATAAACAACCAAGAATAGTAATCATATAATTAGTAAAATATCTGATTCATAAAACAAGAGATAAAATAAGAACTCTTAAAACTTAAAACATAACAAAGAAAAAACAACCCTCAAAACCAACCTCTGCTCAATAGAAAGAATATAGGCTAAAAAGAGACATTAAAAACACAAAAACTGAAAAAAAAAAGAAAAAACACCAAAGCCACGAGATTAGAAAATAAATAAAAAAAGAAAGAAGCAGATCTAAACAGTAAGATATCTTCGAAACCAATAGAAAAAGGAAACTATCAATTCAAAGAGCCAACACAGAAAAACTAAAATTGTGAAGAACATAAAGAGAAAATCTCAAACCCTAGTTAGCAGTCAAAGCTAAAAGTGGAATTAGTTAAAGTCAACAGTAATAGCATAGCCAAACACCATATTCGATAATAGAATCAACAAAGACATCTCCAAACCCGATAAAATTCCAACAAAAAATAATAAATATCTTAAGTAAAAAGATTAAAATATTCAAAATACACGGTTGAAATTAAATGAGATATTGGAGATCATCAAAACAAAACAAACTAATTAAGACCAAGAAGAGAATTGTACATGAAGACTAAGTTGAAATTAAATGAGATATTGGAGATCATCAAAACAAAACAAACTAATTAAGACCAAGAAGAGAATTGTACATGAAGACTAAGATCAAGGGAAGCCAAACAACAAAAGAGAAACACCAGTCTCCACACAATTAGCTACAACAAACCACAAATAATAGAAAAAAGTACTAACAAAACCATCAAAATAAACAGTACCAACACCCAAAAACTGCAAAAAAGCTCTCAAATAAACAACATCATAAGAACGTCCAAATATATGGCTTCTCGTAATTAAAATCGACATGAGCTTAGGTCGATTCTATCATTTGACCATTAGGGGAAAAAATCAAGTAGTACACAAGAATTAAAAAGAGCAATTATATAAATAACACTAGAATTCTTATTTTGCTATTTCTAAAACTAGAACCTCTGTAATTTGTTGTTATTTCTTCCTTTTTAAAATTTTCATTCAAATATCAAACCTCACAATAAAATCAACTCATATTTTATTTTTTATGAAATTTCCAATGCTTTGATCCTGGCACACATAAATGCGTAAATTTGGTAGTTAAGAAAATGAATTGGGTGCTAGTTTTATAAATAACAAATTTTTTAGTGCAATATTTGTAAATATTTCCAAAATAAATTTAAGTGAATTTTATGTCTTGCATAAGCTTATTTTGTATATAGATGTGTGTGTGTGTGCCACATATCTCAGTCTGTTAGTTAACATCCTCGGTGTAAAACCTATCAGGTCCAGGGTTTGATTCCCCCTGACACAGTTGGCCTTAAGGAAGTGGTACTCAAATTGTTTGGCACATTGGGAGTGGTTGTAGGCTCGTATAATAGCCTCTGACCATTTCTTTTTAACACACACCCACACACATATATTTTTCTCATGTGGAGTGACCATTACAATTTGGTCTGTTATGATTTCTCATGGTATTTCCAACTTATATTTTTGAGCACATAATCATTACATAATACTTTGCCAGTAATTAATAGTAGAGGTGTTAAATTTAGAATTGTCTGGAAATCACACCAAATGAATATAACTTAAATGAAGAGAGAGAGAGAGAGAGAGAGAGAGAGAGAGAGAGAGATGAACAATATAGAATAGTATTCAATAATGTTAATTCTTCATAAAATATTTTTTCTTATTTAAGAATAAAATAGTACAATAGTGATATTACATTTTTACCTTCGTTTGGAGAGTGTATATTACGCTATTCTTGATATTTTACAAGCATGGGCTTATTGTTTGGTTGCCTTCTAGCTTGGTCGGCTAAGCTTAATTAACTCAGATTGATGGGGTTAGTTCGGTCTCCTGAACTTGGTTTGTAGGGTTCAATCAGCTAACACAATCTTGACACTATGGAAAAATTGTGGAATAGCATCAGAATTAGCATTGAAAAAAAATTCTGACTCAAACTTAGATTTTGATTTGTGTGCATTTAGTGTCGCCCGTTGTTCCACTCCCAAAAGAATTAACACATGCGAGTTGCATCGAGTGACGAACGCTAAGGCGGCGTTGTAGCATCGGATTAGTGTCTGCTATAGCCGATTCTAAAATTATTTATTAACATAAGCATTAGCGGCCGCTAATGCAGACGCAAAAGCCCAAAAAACATGCTCCCGCAAATCGCAATCTCCAATTTGCATTTCTTCTTGCCCAAACTCCTCTCCTTCTTCTCGAGCATTCCTTCATTGCATGCGATCTTTTTCAACATTTCCAGCTCCAATTTGCCTCTCCAACCTCGTCCAAGGTGAGAAATCTTCTTCCACACATCCAAGCATTGGTTTAACATTAAGTTTTCATTTTTTTTTTCTTTCATAGGTGTTAGAACCGGAGAATACATAGGTTTTGCTCAAGTTTTTTTCGTATTCCGTTGTTTGACATACAATGTATATAGATTTCATGGTCTTACATAAATATAGAATAATAAGTGTTTAAATATAAAAGTTTAGCTTCGAAGTATGTAAATACATAAGAATTTTGTGTCATGTAATTTTAGATATGAAGATTTTACATAAGATTTGAAATGTGTGTAAATGATTTGTTTATGTTTGAGATATGTGAATACATTAGATTAGTGCTATGTATGTAAATATGTAAATATGTTTTAGGTGTGAGATATGTAAATACATTAGAAATTTGTGCTATGCATGTTTGGAGTGGAGTTAGGCTAATATTGATATTTGTTTGGTTATGCCACCTACCTACACATCATACCCAAAATCCAAAACTTTAGATAGTGGATGTAAAACATATTATATCCAGGAAGAATATGATTAACTAACGAGTTTTTGGGTGATGTTGAAGTGTTCGCGCATGTGGCATTGTTATTGCACGTTTACCTTTCATAAGGTTGGTTCTGATGCTCCCGTGCAAAGCACAAGAATCAAATGTATCTGTCATCTAAAGAAGTGAAGTTGGATAGATACCATAGGGGATTTAAACCTCATTATTGGTATTGGACTTCACATTGTTTATTTGAATCAGACGTTTGGCATTAATTTTTGACTTCACGAATTTAGGGTATCTTCTTGACTGACTCGGGAAGATTTACTATCCACTCATAGCATCTCGTAGCCCAATTCATCCATCTGAAA